TTTTTCAATTTTTTTTTTTTTTTTTTTTTATCATCACCATTCATTGACCTGTTATTCCTGCCATAGATCCTGTAAGGACTTAGATTTGTTTGTATGTAGAGCCAGAATGTTTTGCTTCAAATGCTCTCTCTGCTAGTTTGTAGACCTGTCCTGCTGAGATCAGTAATTGTTAACTGTTAGTGTCCTTTTACTTTTATCAGGACAAAGTTAGCATTCTTTTGAACAGTATGCTTTACAAAACCTCAATATTCCTTTCTGATTTTTGAGAAAAGATCTATATAGAATATGAAAGAAATTGCCATTGCGAGAAAACTGTCTGGAACCGTGGTAACATTTTTTTTTCTCTTTTTTATTCCAGATCTTTGGCGTTGCCAGTTCCTTTTACCTTTTGTTAGTTTAGGTTTGATGTGCTTTGGGGCTTTGATTGGACTTTGTGCTTGTATCTGCCGAAGCTTGTATCCTGCCATTGCCACAGGCATTCTCCATCTCCTTGCAGGTGTGTTTGTCATCAGACTTAATATTTTATCTTCTTTCTGTCTCCCTAGAGACCGAAGAGTTGTAATTCTTAAACACTCATATATCATTGCCCTGTCACATTGCCTGAAAAATTCTTATGGTGATCTTATCTGCTTATGTTTTATTTTGTGTTCTGAATTTCCCTCCAAGGTCTGTGCACACTGGGCTCAGTGAGTTGTTACGTGGCTGGAATTGAACTGCTCCACCAAAAACTAAAGCTGCCTGAGAATGTGTCTGGTGAATTTGGATGGTCCTTCTGCCTGGCTTGTGTCTCAGCTCCCTTACAGTTCATGGCTTCTGCTCTTTTCATCTGGGCAGCTCATACCAACCGGAAAGAGTACACCTTAATGAAGGCATATCGTGTGGCATGAGGGGGAAACTAGCTGCTATACAATTTCCATTTTTATTATTTTTTAAGAGTAATATTTTCCCTTGCCCCCTCCCCAATTGTTTTTAATTTAACTATTTTTTTGCGGATATATTATTTTACCTTGAAAATCCGCTTTATTTATTCACACAGTTGTTTTTTAATACAACTAAAATTTATATGCATTACTCTGAGGGATTCCATATTTCAAACAAACTAATCTAGGGTCAGAGTCCAGACAGAAGGGAATGGGTAGATACTTGGCACAAATTTGTGAAAGATAACTGATAGTGGGAAATTGACCCAGAGTAAGTTCTGCTGATGTCTGTTAGACTTTTCAGTAAAGTGATTGTATTCACTGAACTGGAAATTTTATTTTCACTGGGAAACCTCATCATTGTCAAAACTTATGTTCACTTTGCTGTTATAGTTAGCCGGTCAGCCAGAGGTATTAATGCTGTTTTCAGAAACTTAAGCTACATAAAGTCGGGAAATTATCTAAGATCCTTTTCCCTAAATATTGGCTGGCATATAGCTACACTGAGATGAAATATGACAGCTGTTTATCTACACCGTGTCTGTCTACAAGAAAGGAAGTGAAAAATAATAGAATTTACTTGAAATTTTAACTTTGGAACTGCAGGAGTTCCAGTTCAGCCAAACAAGATTAACCTAATTTTACTTTTTTTTAAAAAAACTCTCCTTAATATGTCAGTAGGATTTTTAGTACCACCAAACCATTTTGGATTTTTGCTCCTTCCCCTTAATACAGCTGGCTTATTACAAGATTGCTTTCTTTTTAATACTACTTCGGGAACACAGAGTAAAATTCTTCAACTGCTATCTCTTTATTTTAACTAAGTACCATAAAGAACGTTCCACCATAAAGACCCTCTGGAGTTAGGAAAGCTACCACAACCGGGATGGTTGTTAACTTCCAACTATGGTCTTTATTTCTTTGTGAAATGATGTGCCTTTCCTTGCCTCAGTCCCTTCCTGGTGTGTATCAGCATTATTTAATGTCATTAAATTCAACCATTTTTTGATAAATATGTCTATAAACATTGAAGTTTTGAAAATCTTATTTATTTCATTACTGTAGCACTTGACAGATTTTTTAAAATGTAACTTAGTAATTTCTTACACTATCCTAGATCTGTCTTTTATAAAAAATAAAATTAAAAATGAGAAGAGACTCAAGTTGATTTAAATCCTAATACCTTAGGATAAAGGAGCACAAGATTCTGAATGAGCGTCTCTGTGGTTATCTCTGGAAAATGCTTTGTTGCTTTATAGGCCTATCTTTATGCCCAGTGTTTGGGCCTCTGTTTTATCTTCCAGGAAATATAGGAACCTCTTAACCACACTAGAAAATAAGACTCTTTATCTCTTATGTTTCAGAGTTTTAAAACATGTTTTCAAAGTGGTTTTGTGATCTCTGTCATACTTAATGTGGCTAGTTTTTTTAATAATTTCACTTAATGGCTGTGGGTACTTGTGTTCTATACTAAAGAAATAATCAAGTCAGCTTTTGACTTCCAACAAATCCGGTATTACTCTGCAGCTGATTATTGCCTAGGAAATGGCTCACTACTCGGTTTTCCCTCTCTTCCTTACTCTTGAAGTGTCATTGCCCTTCAGCACCTTCTGTGGAAGGTAGGCAGGAGAAAAGCTAAGTGAACAAACACAAAACGCTTTGGGGAATGGGATTTTAAAGTGACTGAACAACAGGGCATTTTTGTGTTGGGAATTATTTTAGACAGTGGTCCCTGCCTCTTGTCACTCCAAAGTTATCTGTGACTGTCATTGTAACATCAGTCTCGAAACTCAGTCAGACTGACTTTTGTGTTACAGCCTTACCAGTAGCATCCTGTAATATGGAAAGCTAGCACCATAAGCCCCTGTGCTAAGTATGTGTTGTAGTTGATATGTGTGTGTGTGTGTGTGTGTGTGTGTGTGTATACACACACACACACACATATATATATACACACACACACACACACATATATATATACACACACACACACACACACATATGTATTTAAAATATATCTTTATTGATTTCAGAGAGAGGAAGGGGGGGGGAGAGAGAGAGAGACATCAATGATGAGAGAGTCGTCATTGATCAGCTGCCTCGTGCAGGCCCGCCTCCTGCACGCCCCCGACTGGGGATCAAGCTGGCAACCCGGGCATGTGCGCTGACCAGGAATCGAACCACGATCTCCTGGATCCTAGGTCAGTGCTCAACTGCTGAGCCGCCTGACCAGGCTGTAGTTGATATTTTAAGCACGTTGCAGAATAGCTGAAGTCATCCTCTCCTGTGAAGACATTTTTCTTTGGAATACATAGGGCCATGTTGTTTCATTCAATGTGAAAATTACAGTAGTTTTTCAGCTGTCTCATGATTCTAAAGAGCTAGTAGAATCATATGAATTTCTGATATTTGACCATTTTTTAAATTAATACATAAAGTGAGTGCCAAGTAAAGTCCTATTAATCTCTTCACCTAATCTTTGAAAGTAACCCCCAAAGTAAAAAAGTAATTTTCAGATTTTTCAGAATGAGCTTTATGGCAACTTAAGAAACCTGTTTTAAAATCTTAATTTTTAAAACAATTTATCTTTATTGTCGAATGGTTCCTAACCTCATAACTGAATGATGTGATATCTTCTATATCGTTTTTAGCAAAAGACTCATTCCAAAATTTCTTAGGGCTAGCCATAAAAACAAGTAAAAGTTCATACAATAAAAAAGGCATCATAATTTGAGAAGAATTTATTCAGTTAATTCTATTCCTACTATTTATATCATGATAACACCAGAGTCTCAAGAATTTAATAGCGATGTGTTAGGTTTGCCTGCTCTGTGTGTGTGTGTGTGTGTGTGTGTGTGTGTGTGTATTGGGGGCAGGATACACTTGATAACTCACTTAGGGGTGAACTGATTTCGTTAAACAAGTGAAAAGAATGAGATAATCATACAACAAATCAATTTAGAATTTGGTTTTTCTATTTCAAAGATGACATCAAATTGTATACTAGCAGTTAAAACTTATAGATCCAGACATCTTCAGTTGACTGTAAAATACATGGTGTGAGGACATTCTAAAATTTAACCCTCATCTTGGCTTTCACCTGAAACAAAAACAGCCTGTTGAATTTACCTGATTTGCCAGTTGCAACACTTCCTGAAGTTTCCTAGCAAGGGAAAGGAGCAGGCAGTGGGTGCAGTTCTGAAGATGCAAATTACTTCACAAGCTGGAGGAAACTTTGTCCTGGCACAGATGGGTGGAGTCTTGACCTCCTTTCAGCTTTCTACTCATTAGGGAATAATGATTCATACCTTGAAAAGAAAATTAAAACAAGGAAGCACAGCTATGGATAGGAATTCTTTTGTCTGTTGCTCATTAGCCGTTGGAACACAGTATTGTAATGAGATACGTTTTTCCCTTGGATCAAATGACGTGCCAATGTCCTGCAAATTCACTATGTGGAAATTCTAAATTGCAAAAGAATAAATTAGATTATTTGCTACATAGAAATTACCATAAGAGTTACTTCAATCCTCTTCAGTACAAGCATTTCTAGTAGCAAAATCAATACATTATTTGATACTAACATTTACATACTTGCAGCAAACTTGTATAAAGCAAGATCCACTTTATATTTTTATTTTTGTTGAGTTTAAAAATGTGAAATAAGGAGAGAAAGATAATTCTTGTTTTGTCTCCGCCTTTTAACCCTTTGCGGTCATATTAAATTTGGACATGGGTGTCGTACTGGTCGGAAATAATTTCCATTGAAAGAGCAGTATACATAACATGCAAGATTATGAAGGATAAACGAGAAATTATGAACTGATACATGAATGAATAGAGTTAAGATTCGTACGGTTCCTTGCTGTGGTGGCTGAGAGCAGACATACGACCGGAACGGTAAAAAAGCTTTGGTGGCTGAGAGTAGACAAACGACCGCAAAGGGCTAAAATGCCTGACTTTCTGGGTAATGCACCACCTTCCCTCTTGTGGCTCGGAGTCCCAGAATGTGAACTTTACCTTACCTCTCCCGCAGCCTTCCAGCCCCTCCCAGTCTTCTAGGCTCCTGCTCTTGATTTTCTGGACTCCGCTTGTTTTGTCATTGGTAGGTCACAAGGGACTTTGATTCTTTTATTCTCATAATATCCCTTGGCATATTTCTTCTCGATCTTTAGCCTTATCTTCATATGCGCTATCCAGTTTTCTTATTTTCAGCTTCAAAGGATGGCTGTTAAAAACTATAAAGTGATTCTGTTAAAAAGATTATGCAACTTGGCTTTAGCTGCTTGATAGTTTTAACCATCTCTGACTGTTTCTTAATCTCTACCACACATTTTCCAATCTCTAGTAGAATCTTCTGCCTTAACTTCTACAGAAGTTTATGTTCTCTTTAATGGAGTATTGGAATGAACTATCCCAGTTTCTCCAAATCTCACTACACAAGAAGAAATGTATTGTTTGGAGAGATTGCTGGGATCATGGCATCCACAAAAAGCAACAAAGTGTATGGAGGTTAAGTATCCAGCTCAGGAGACAATGCTAAATTTGCAATCCCAGGTCTGTCGCCTTTCTCGATCCCCACTCTCCCTATCTGTGAAATGTTATCATACCTGCCTCTTAGAATTGCAATAATGATTGTGTCAGTTGCTCAGCTTAAATGAGCCCCTCAAAAAATGCTAGTTATGACTGGTGACATTAAGAGGGGATGGGGTTACCAAATTTATGAAGCTGGGTTCTCAGCTTAGGCCACACATTAGAATTGCCTGGAGAATGCTAAAGAGTCAGACATGCTAACAGGTCAGACTTGTGGAAACGGGAGGCAGACCCATTATTTCAGACTTTCCTCAGTGTCACCTATCTAACAGGTTGAGTTTTTCCTTCAGATCAATATGTATTTTTTAAAAACTAAGTACAGTTACTAAAAATGTTTTTCAGAAACTTATGCCCTAGAGATTCTGATCTTGGTCTGGGGTGTGGCCAGGTCACTGCAATGTTTTAAACCTTCCTAAATGATGCCAGTGGGATAGCTATGTTTGCAAAATATGCTAGAAAGCTATGTTTAAAAGCAGTAAGTAGGATTCTTTCTCTCCTACGCAGATTGTTAGAAGGAGAGAGTAGGCTCTGTCAAGTAAATAGACCTGGCACAGTGCCTGCTTTCTAGAAGCTGTTTCCCTCCTGTGCTTTCCAGGCTGATGATGCTGTTTGAGACTGGCCTGCATCCGTCACACACCACTGCTGGTTGGAGGTGTGTATGAAGAGTCTGCCTGCAGATCCAGTATACTCCAGTCAGTGGCTGGTCTGACGGTTCAGATTTGGCAGGAGGGAATAGGAAACCTTGTTTGTTTTGGCTACATTTCCAAATTACTTATCTAATCCAGTACTTTCAGGGAACCTGTAGCTGGTGTGATTAGGCCTCTGTAAAGAAAATTAGATTCTTGATTCAAAGGAAAAATTTTTATGATCCCTACGTTATTCTCGATAATTACTTATTTACCAACAATTTTTAAAAATTAACCATCCAAATCAAATTGCATTGCATGTGGTAGTGGCTGATTTTAGGAGCCTGAGAACAAGCCGCAGGAATCCAAGTTCCTCCCATCCCCTCAATGGATCAATTACTCCTAGAATAGTTCACAATTTCTTTAAGTGGCCTTACACGGTCACCAGCAATTTCTGTACTTTAGACACACTGGCCTTCGGTTTTTTCCAGTGGGCCATCCAACAGCAGTTTAGGAACATGGCCTGATGATTTTTTGATCACCCACCGTTTCTCCTCCCTTGAATCTTGGTGATTGCTTTGACCATTTGAGTTTGGTTAAAGTGATACTATGAATGGCTGTAAGTCACATGTAAAGCTATATGTGACTTCAGATTGGTTGTCTTGGAACACTTGGTTTCAGAATACTCACTGGTGGGATGCTCTGTCTCATAAACCAGCTGCCATGCCATGAAGCCCAGATCACACAGAGAGGCCCTCCATAGGTGCTACAGTGAAAATCCCAAGCGAAACTTCCAGGTGACAGCCGGTGCTCCTCCCGGCCTTGAGCACCAGCCAGCTGGCATGTCCAGCCCTGCTGAGCCTGCAGATGACACTGACCCAGCCACTGTCTACTATAACCCCAGGAGACTCCAATCAAGAACCACCCAGTTGCCCTGCCAGGCATGGCTTAGCGGTTGAGCGTCTGCCTAGGATCCAGGAGATCATGGTTCGATTCCCGGTCAGGGCACATGCCTGGGTTGCCGGCTTGATCCCCAGTCAGGGGCGTGCAGGAGGCAGCCGATCAATGACTCTGTCATCATCGATGTTTCTATCTCTCTCTCCCTCTCCCTTCCTCCCTCTGAAATCAATAAAGATATATTTAAAAAAAAAACAACCACCCAGTTGAGCCCAATCAACCTACAGAACTGTTAAAAATTGTTTTATGCCACTACATTTTGGAGTCATTTGTGATACAGTCACAGTCTCTAGAACAATGCTCTTTCCTACCACAGGCTGTCAGAAGGTTTTCTCTTTTTCTAACCTGCTCCCCACTCTACTTCCTTCCGCACTTTTAATCTGGCTAATTTCTATTTATCTTTCTAATCAAAGCTTAATATGTACTTCCTCAGCAAAATTTTCCCTGATCGTCTTTCTTGGGTAGTTCTCTTATCTTTTCACAGCACTCTGAAGTTCTTGGGTACGGCAGACCGTGAAGTGCGAGGTTGAGAGCGGTTCTATTTGTCATCGCTTTTTTTTTTTAATCCTCGCTGGAGGATATTTTTTCCATTGCTTTTTCAGAGAGAGCGGAAGGGAGAGAGAAAAAAAATCAATGTGAGAGAGACACATCAATTGGTTGCCTCCCGCACTTCTCCCACCGGGGCTGGGGACTGAGCCTGCAACAGAGGTACGTGCTCTTGTCCAAAATCGAACCCAGGACCCTTCAGCCGGTGGGCTGACACTAACCACTGAGCCAAACTGGCTAGGGCTGTCATTGTTTCTTTTAAACTCCATGGATCCTGTCTTCCCAAACCTTAATAAACTCTAAGGTAGGTTTTGGGGTCACTCCAAACTCTGATTAATCCCAAGGCTCCCCTTGAGGAGAATGATGAGCGTTTCTAGACGACCTTCTGCAGACCCGGCACAGAGTCTAACATCTCAGTTTGGAATGTGCAACTTTTGATAAAATTAAACTGAGATAACTAGATGAACTACATTGAGGTCTAGTTAAACGTTATTAAATTGTAATGATTTTTGTTTAACACCTTCCTCTGCTGGGCTCCTTGAAACTCCCAAGAGCAGAGCCCGGCGTCACTCGCGGCCCACAGCGCTTAGCCAGTGGCCCGTGTATGACGCAGTGCTCAGTGAGTATTCACTGACCGGTGCATGATAAACACACTTAGATTATGCAGCTGACCTTTGGTCGTCTGTGAGCTCATCTTTTAAGCCTGGTTACCCACAGTACTCATTTTTAGGTATAAGTACATGCATATAACATACCTAATAAATGTTGAGCTTCGAACAAATAAGTTATTTTCTTGGTGTATATTGCCTCAGGAAGAGAGTAGTAACCTTTTTATCTCAAATCTTAGTATTTCCCTCTAAGCAGGGGCTGCATATTTAAATATAAAGCAAGTTAAATAGACAATTAAGAGAGAGGGAGCACTGTGGAGAATGACGCTGTTTCGTTTACTATGCCAGTGACTGGCGCGCACTGTAAATATCCTGTACCACGTTCTCTCCTTTTGAATGGCCCGCGCTAGATGAGTCCCCAAGAGGCCGGGCTGTGCCTCTGCAGCTCTTTACCGTGTGTCCCCCATGTACTTGCCACACCAAGAGGAACTAAGCTCGGGACACGCTCTCCTGGGCTGACAGGAGGGAGGATGGCCCGCTGCGGGAGGGGCTGAGGCGGGCACGGGTGGGGGGGAGCGTTACAAAGGAGGACAGCCCCCAGCCCTGCCAGCTTTTCAGCTCCCGGGCGCTCCGAGCTGGCTTCTGCAAGAGTCCTTGCCCTGAGAAATGTCAGCCTTGCCGTTTGCCTCTGCGGCCGCGTGAGGCTGAGAGTGCTCAGGCGACGTGCTCTTTGCAGAGTCTGCGCTTCGCTCGACGGCTAGTGGGGTCCAGTGAAGCTGAGCAGATAGCGTGTTTCGGGGCCCTCCCTCCTCCCGCTCTTAGCTCCGCTTCTTCAGGCAGCCCCTGGCTTTCTAGGAGACTCACGACCGGGGCATTATCTGCCTTTGGTGTGTGCGAGAGCAGTGGCTTCGAGGTTTGTCCCTCATTCCTCGGGCCTCTTCCTGCTGAAGGGCTGGCAAAGAGCTGCTGAGTTGGTTTGTGCTACTCAGATAGTCACGCCTCCCAAGTAAGTCATTTCCATTTTAACACCTGGACTTTCAGGACCTTAGCTTTTTCTTTTTGCTCTTCTCCCTTCCTGCCCGCCTTTCTTTCTTCCCCAATACAGTGTTTGAGCATCTCGGCTGGCGCCGGGCATGGCCATAGGCCCGGGATGCACATCGCACCCCTTCCCTCGTGGGGGGCAAGTGGAACACGGGCTGCCCCTCAAAGCGCGGCCACACAAATCGTTTTCTTTAATATGAAAGCATAACGCATTTCATTTTTTAAGCCCATGAATCATACTCTTAGTCATCGATCATGCTCGTTCTTGCTGATTTGGCAAGAAAAATAAAATCCATTCAACAGGTTTGTCTCGACATTCTGATGGTAGACAATGTCATTGCTACAGAAACGAAATATTTTGACCAGGAGAATAGTTTGGGGCCCCTCAAATTCCATGGCTTTGTCTACTCACAGTGCTAGTCTATATATAATTGTCTTGCAGGGATGACTAACTCAGCTTTGCCCTGTTGTCCCCAATTGTGGTGACCTCAAGTAACTCTTCCATGTTGCAGATTTATTGCAAACGTGCTGAACGTCTCTCCCCGCTCATCTGTGCAGCTGACATACCAGCAAACCTAGGCGCCTGCCTGTAGGAGTCCTAACCCGCCCAGCAGGATGTCACAACCAGAGGGGGTCCTTTTCTCATGTTCCCTCTACGGTTTTATGACGAACTAGTTCAGCATAGGTGCATATCTCGACATAACGTTATGTTTAGAAAAAATTCCCAGAAGTTTTTTTCTTTTGACAGGAAGTTTTGAATTTTTATCTCAATCAATTTTCCTTTATTTCATGCATGTTCTTTTATCTTTATCTTCTAAAGGGAGTATTAGAGGAAAAATATCTGTAAGTAATATTATATAATGACGCATTTCTTCAAAACTAAGATATGAATTTGATAATACACTCCTTTCCACATTAGGATTTGGCTTTTGTTCCCTTATGAAAAGGAATTGCGTTTTTTGTTAATACAGTAAACAGGACTAACTAGTTTCGTTGTCTCTGTCTCCTGGGATTGAACAACAAAACATAAAATTATAATACAAACAGATGATGACAATTTAAACTGAATAAAATAAAAAGTTCATAGTTAAAGGATAAAATAAGATTTGTTTAAAATAAATTATTTTAATAGTTGTTCTACCATATTTCTATGAAGTTCTTACCTGAACCTCTTGCCCAATAAAACTGAAATAGTTTTTTTTAAAAAGATCTATAGTTCAATAGTTAACTGGCTACTGTATGAGATTTTCCTTTTAAAAACTAAATGTATTTACCTCCTTCTGGGATGTTTTGGTCATTTCTCCCCCTTTTTGTATTATCACTTATCATAGGTGAGCTGAGACAGTAAGAAATTGTTCAATTAGCATATTTTATAGTTTATAATAGCAACTTGGTAAATACTTTTACTGCTAGTAAGTATTGAAATAATGAAGAATGATGAGAGGAAGTATTTTGTAACATAAGGTTACACATTTATATGCTCAGAGGAGCCAGGAGGTGGTATAAAATAAAACTAATTGTTGCCAGATCTCCCTACTTTTCAAGAGAAGTTAAAACTTGCTTTTATAAATATTCTCCTGATTTTTAAATCTTGGAAATTAATTTTTTAAAAGTCCTATGCTGTTCTGCACTGCATGAGCTAACCTAAGCACTTCCGTGATGCAATTCTGGATGATCCTTCGTGACTTCTTATATGATAATTGAGAGTATGGGTTTTAGAGTTAGCCTTGGGTTAAAATCACAAGTACATTAAACCCTCAATTTTGGAGTGTTCATGATCCAAGATATTACAATGGGCTGGCTACAAATGTTTGATAGAATTCTTCTTTCTATTTTTAATTGCTAGTTTTGTTGTTTTTATTTCTTTTTTTAGTCTGACAATTTTTAAATTTTTATTTCCCCCCCCAGTTTTATTGCTTTTATTTTGGATGCTGATAATCCCTGATGCTGACACATTCCGTGAGCTTGGCAACATACTAAGTTGTTTCTTGAAGGAATTCAGTTTGGTTCTCATTTTTTTTTGTTAAGATTTAGCACAGTTACTCTTTAGTGCATATTTTTTCCTTTATGTATTGCTGCTTAATTAATTTTATTATGACATTTTAAAATACTTTATATATAACTTGCTCATGTCATTTTTTTCAAACTTTCTTGAGATAATATTTCTTCAAAGTTTTTCTCAAGATGCTTATTATTTTCTTATTTCTCAGGCTATAAATAAAAGGGTTTAGTAAGGGAACTACTATTGTAAACAAGATAGCAGCTGGTATATCTTTATCTCCTTCTTCAAGCAAATTTGGTCTAATGTACATGAAGAAAAGAGATCCATAGAATAACACAAGAGACAAAAAGTGGGATGCACAGGTAGAAAAGGCTTTCACCCTTCCCCCTTTGGATTTCATTTTGAAAATAGTAAAGAGGATGTAGAGGTAAGATATTAAGACACAACCTATGGTGAAGACTTGAATTGAACCTGAAAAGACAAATAATACCAGTTCATTGATATAAGGATCAACACAGGAGAGCCTGTATAACGGGAGAATATCACAGTAAAAGTGGTTGATGTGGTTAGATCCGCAGAAAGTTAACCTGAACAGAAGCCCTACATGGACCATGGAATGCATATTCCCAGCTGTGTAGGCGCCTGCGGTCATCTGAATGCAGAGCTCCTTTGACATCACGGTGTGGTACTGCAGGGGGCTGCAAATGGCCACATGGCGGTCGTAGGCCATCGCCGCCAGGAGGAAGCAGTCTGCAGTTTCAACAGTGCAGAGAAAGTAAAACTGAGCCATACATTCATAGAGGGTAACCACTCTGTTCTCAGAGAAGAAGTTCCCTAACATCTTAGGAGTAACGGCACAGGCACAGCAAGAATCCACAAGAGCCAGGTTGCCCAGAAAGATGTACATTGGTGTGCGAAGACTATGCTCTTTTGAAATTAGTATCATCAGGCTGAGATTCCCCACCATAGTGATCAGATAGATGGTCAAAAACACCACAAAGAGAAGGGTCTTCAGCTCTGGGTGATCTGTAAATCCTGTGAGGATAAAGTCATTTTTCATGGTATGATTTTCTTCAGCCATTCCTGACCTCTCTGTTGAGGAAAAATTGTGGAGAAATGAGGTACTAATTTATAATATGCCCAAGTCAACCATTTATTTATTTATTTATTTCGAGCCTAGAAGGACGCGGAGCCTCTCCCATAATGCTTTCACATGTCACATGATTTTGGTGCATGACCAGTTCTGGGGAAGTATCAATTTCCTAAAGCTATTACTTTTTTAGCTACTTATTTAACATTTTTTCCCAACATATGGTCAAGAAAAATATTAGCTTATTTGCACAAAGATGACTTTTGAGATCTTGAGGGAAATATTTTTCTATATAGTTTCTTCTATATAGTTTAGGTAAAGCTGATTCATAATTTAAGTGTCAGCAGTTGGAAACGGTGTTGCCAAATAATTTCAATAACTGTATACATCCTGATTAACAATGTTATCTAAAAGAGTATTTTCGTACACTCATGTTTATAGCAGCATAACTCCACAATAGCCAACTGAAATGTCCATTGGTGGATGAATGGTTGAACAAAATGTAGTATATCCATACAAAGGAATATTTTTCATCCATAAAAAGTGATGAAATTCTGACGCATGTTAAAAAAATAGATGAACCTTGGTGATATTATGCTAAATGAAATAAACTAGACACAAGAGGATAAATATTGTATGATTTCACTTACATGAATTAAAGTAGCCACATTCATAGAGGCAGGAAGTAGAATGGTGGTTGTCAGGGAGGGAGGAAATAGGGAGCTATTGTTTAATGAGTACAGAGTTTCAGTTTGGAAAGTTGAAAACTTCTAAAGATGGATGGTGATGATGGTTACACAATCTAACTGTAGTTAATGCCACTGAACTCTGTACTTAAATATGGTTAAAATGGTAATTTTTATGTTATGTATATTTTAACACAAGAAAAAGACATTTTTAAAGGTTAGTTTCATTTGTATATTCTTAGCAATTTACTATCTCCAATGTTAGTTAAGTATATATTTAAAAATTAAATGGTTTGAGGACAAACGAGGGCTGTTTACAAGGTATTTATATCAAGGAGGTAGGGTTGGGGAGAGAGGGAGTGACGTGAATGGAAGTAGGAAGGAGAGAGAGAAAGGAGGGGGAAGAAAAAGCAAAAAGGCTATATTAACACCCTTCCAGGTTGTTTATAATGCCATCTCTGCATGCAATGTAAAGTTATTAATGTGTGCATGTATGTAAAGAAATTTAAATGCTGCCAAAAGAATTTGGAAAAATCAAATTCTCCAAAAAAATCCAAGAGGAAGGAACACTTCCAAACGAGGCCAGCATTAACCTGATTCCAAAACCAGATAAAGACACTACAAAGAAAGAAAATTACAAGCCAATATCTCTGATGAACATAGATGCTAAAATCACCAACAAAATATTAGCAAATCGAATCCAGCAATATATTAAAAAGATCATACATCATGACCAAGTGGGATTTATTCCAGGGATGCAAGGCTGGTACAATATTTGCAAATCAATAAATGTGATACATCACATAAATAAATGAAAGACAAAAATCACATGATCATATCAATAGATGCAGAATAGGCATTCGATAAAATCCAGCACCCATTTTTGATAAAAACTCTCAGCAAAGTGGGGATAGAGGGACCATACCTCAATATAACAAAGGCCATATATGACAGACCTACAGCCAACATCATACTCAATGGGCAAAAACTAAAACCATTTCTCCTAAGAACAGGAACAAGACAGGGGTGTCCACTTTCACCACTCTTATTCAACATAGTACTGGAAGTCCTAGCCACAGAGATCAGACAAGAAAAAACATAAAAGGCATCCAAATAGGAAAGGAGGGGAAAAAAACTGTCATTATTTGCAGATGACATGATATTGTACATAGAAAATCCTAAAGACTCCATCAAAGTACTACTAGATTTGATAAATGAATTTGGCAATGTAGCTGGATACAAAATTAACACCCAGAAATCGATGGCATTTTTATACACCAATAATGAACTACCAAAAAGAGAAACTAAAAAACAATCCCATTTACCATTGCAACTAAAAAAATAAGATACCTAGGAAAAAACTTAACCAAAGATGTAAAAGACCTTTACTCGAAAAACTACAGGACACTGAAAAAAGAAATAGAGGAAGATATAAACAAATGGGAAAATATACCATGTTCATGGGTTGGAAGAATTAACATCATTAAAATGTCCATACCTATCCAAAGCAATCTATGCTATGATGTTCATATTTATTAGACTTTCAGTCCATTTTTAAAACTTTAATTATCTGTCTCTTAGATTTTTCCTTAAAGATTGGGCTTGAATCTATTGGGGAATGCTGTATTTCAATCTACCTTTGTTTATTTTAGTTAATTTAAGAATAATTTATTCATTCACCAGGTATTTATTAAAATGCCTGCTCTGTGCTACATACTTTCTTAGAAGTCCAGTTGACCCTCTTAGACGTTTCCCCACTGATAATCTTCTGGATATTTATTGACCATAATTGCCCCATATTCTAGGAACAGAGGAAAAGCATTTTACAGAGCTATACAAAGATCTCTTTTCTTTGACTTCCTGAAAATATTACTAATTTTTAAATCTCAGACTATCTGATCCTTTTAGGAGCAATATGCTAAAATGAACATGTGAAATCTATACAAGTTTAATTTGAATAATTTTTTAATTAAATGCCTTATACTTACCAGCTTGAAGTCATATTAGATAGTAATATTTCCTTCAGTTTTCCTAGCTGATCATAATTAATGAGAGGGATATGTTTTACGTTGATATTTAATTTCTCTAAAACTTGAAAGAGAAACTAGAAAGCTCCCTAAAATTTTTTCAGTAGTTTAAAAAAATAATATGAAATTATATCCCTTCCTTACAATTGTTTTAAAGATAGAGAATGTCCAACACATAAATTTTAAACACCATTTCATTATAAATGTTAATAACCCATTTCACCTGTTAATTTGTAAATTATATGAAAAGCATTATTCAAAGAGGTTTCCAAAACTTCACTAATGTTTTGCTATTACTATAAAAGTGAGCCTTTGCTTATTTATTTTTGGTACATTTAGGCTTCTCTTGAATTCAGAAGTGATACAAATGAATTATAATAGTTTGACTAGTGCTTACACAATAGACTGTAGGTTAAAGAAAAGAATTTAAGGAACTTAAGAAATTAAAAAATAAAAATTGTAAAGACAAAACACCTTAAAGAACTTAAAGAAATAAATGTTCTCAGAGGTTAATAAAATTTTTAAATACTGCTTTCTCACCTGAATTTCCCTGAGAAGAGTTTTATAAAGGTTGTTTGGTTGCCTGATGTTGTTTTTATAAGTAGATCCAGAAACAAACCCCTACCTCCTTGATAGTTTTGGAGAATATTTTTACCAACAGGTCAATAGTGATATTTATGTCATTGGTTTGAATATTTTCAGTAATTCTAAGGGGATTTACTTGGCATTGACATCAGCCTATAGCCTGAGAGACCTAATCTCCTAAACATTACAAACATACTAAATTGGAATAATTAAATGTATCCTTTGAGACCTAAAAAGTAAGGCAAATCCCATTTCTTAGCAAGTGTTAATGGCCATGTTTTGATTTTAATTCACTTGAGTTAATACCATTTATCCTCAGCAACTTGAATATAAAGTCCTAAGTGGGAAGAAAAAATGTCCACTATATTGGTCAGCCAAGGCTTTGTAGAGAAAGTGGGAAATGAACTAAGATATGTTGCCTCAGAGGGGAGGTGTGATGTGAGCAGAGGTCATAAAGTACACATTTCCTACCTTTTTTGTTTGTTTTCAGAGAGAGAAAGAAACTTCGATAGACTGCCTCCTGTATGCACCCTGACCTGGGATAGAATCCGAAACCTAGGTATGTGTCCTGCCTAGAATCAGACCTGCAACCTTTTGGTGTATGGGACAATACTCCAACTCACTGAGCCACCCAGCCAGGGTTCCCACCTCTTTTAAAAGTCATTACTCAACTTGTAGAATCTTCCTTTGAAATTATATTTATAATGCCTTTAATAGATACCTGAGATAGCTTTACAGTTTTCTTACTCCTCAAAAAGACTTTCCTCAAAATACTTTCTTATTTAAGGCTCCTCCATAATTTATAGAGTTATGAATTCATTTTGCCCATCAATCTCAAGTTTCAATTTGTTTGGTCAATTATCTGGATTTTTCTGACTCTACACCATGGAGTTCACTTTATCTCATTATGTTCTGCACTCACATGTACCACCCCTAAGCCCAGTCCTTCTCTTCATGGTTCTCTGAATAAGCGACTTTCTTTCTCGGTTTGGTGCCTTTTATCCTGTCCCTATTACCTTTGCCATGCCCCTCCATTTGCCCAAATCCTACCCCTTCTTTAATGCTCTCAAGAAGGTCTAACCAGCTTCCCTAGGACAACCCAGCTGTCTTCTTCCCAACCTCCCAAGCTCTTGTTACCCATGTAACACCCCTCAAGTCTCAATATCTGCCTTGGATGGTCCTCTGGCATTTCATGGGTGTAAGTCTTATTCTCCTCAGTTTGATTACAACTTTATATCAGGATTATGTGTATTTCTGAGGTGCATCTTGAGGACACAGCAAAGAACAAAGCAGAAAAAAAATCCCTATCCTCAGAATTAAATTCTAGACCAGCGTGACTACTTCAGGTGAGGAACACATTTCTATGATAACGTGGGACACGTCTGTGCTGATATGGTACTGTGGGGATACTTTCTTCTACAATGAGAGTTTGTTAAGACTTGTTGGGGAAAAGGATCTTCCAAAGGAATGTAGATGAATGATGACTGTTGCACTTAGCTCATCTCTTGGCCATCAAACAATGTGAGGTCAGTAAAAAATTGATGGACTCAGTGAAAAAAATCATGTATCTCATTTGCTGTTATTCTAAATTTCTTACAAATTTATGAAAACTTTTAGGCTTTCTTAACATTTGAAAAAAGTCCTTTTGTTCACTACTACAAAACAGCTGCCATTTGTTGCACCACTTATTCAT